GGAATGACCAGTATCTCGCCTACGATAAATAGGGTATCCATTGTCACCTTCCTGAGTACTTTTTTGAAAACTTTTAGGATAATGTTTTTTGCACATACCATCTTTCATACATGGTGCAGTTGGATTTACTATACCACATGGACCATGCATCATCATGGTTGTTACTGTTTCGTAAGCAAGAGGATACATCTCCGGATCTGGAATTTTAGCAGAAATAATAGAATCGTAATTATCTGTGGATCTTAACTTGTCTTCTGACACCAGTATTAATAAGATATGTGCATAAGGTAGACCACGTTTTTGAAATTCTATTACATATACATACACAATAACTTTACCAAGCCAATAATTACGACATAGGTCTTTTAATAATTCCTGTAGTTTTATATAAAACATATGGACTGTTAAATTGGGTCTGTCAATAGCATTCTGATAAGGTAATAATTCCCTGGTAACTTCTGGCCACTTTGGATTACATGTGAAAGTTACAAAAAGATTGGATTTTCCAAAGTGACTTATAATGGCCATCGCATCTTGATATAACTGATACATTTGACATGACCCACTAGTAAATGATGATGGAAGGATTATGCAACGACCAATGTTGTTGCTGCCATCTTCAGTATGTATTGCATCTGTAATACCTTGATATAATTCAGTTCGAAGTAATGCCTGATTATATCTAATGTAATTTAAACGATTTTGCTTTATTTTAGCATATTGATTAACAATATACTGTTGATATAAACGGCCTGCGCTCTGTATCCAATCTCTATTTCTAATTTGCAACCTGTAAAAGTAATATTGCATTGCTGTTACTTTATTTCTTTTCTTAGCACCTATGAGAGGTATGTCAAAATACCAACCATCGTTACCTCTTGGAAATAGTAATATATAATGAAGTGGATCATATGATGAATAAAATTCTGATATTCTTTGTAGACCTCCAATGCGCAACCTAAGAAGAATATCTTGACTGGATGGTTCCATCTCATGATCATTATCAACCATAATTATAGCTACTTCAGAGGCTGTGGGAGGACCATACCGATCAGGATCTTGTGTTCGATCACTATAAATTAACATTGAAATTTCGGTGGTCACGTTTTCCTGAATAAGGTCCCTTATTTGACGAAAATTTTGGATATATGGATTGCATTCATCTAACATATCCTGCAGATTCTTTATAATATCTTCATTCAATTCCCGCATAATATTACGCCAATTTTCACCTTCATGCGCAATATCGTAGACATATAGTTGAGCAAATACAGGCGTGTGATCTGCTGGCAGTAATGATCCGATGCAGTGATAGACTTGGCCATGAATCTGGAAATTAGACACTTCTCGTCCTTGAAATTCATTTATATTAGCTTCAAATGACATGTACGCTAAGATGTTATTATAGCCCCTAATGTTTTTGCGAAATGAATCAGCATCAGGTCCAGTTAATGTATACAGATCCAGCAAATATGATGGTGGTTTAGATAAAGGTTGTAAATAAACTTTACCGTGGGCACAGCAAATTACAAATATTGGAGATCCACGATTGCTATTGTGATCCTTTTCGCTTATCCAAAATTTGGTGTTACAATGGGTGCATACCTGATCCATCCTCCCCAGTTCATGACGTTCTAGTCTTCGTTTTCGATTAACTTGAGTCTTAGCTTTTCTAGCTTCTGACCCTATAGTATTGGAAATGATCTTATTTGAAATGGTAGGCTCATTCGATTCTGGTACATTACCTATGGATTCAATACTGCTCTTACTTACGATAGGTTTATCCAATTTTGGTGTGTAACCTATAGATTCAACACTACTTTTAATCACAATGGGAGGATTTGGCTCTGTTATGTAATCTAGATGTTCAACAGATTCAATGCTAGTCTCATTTATGGTAGGCTTATCCGATTCTTTCATGTAATTTAAATGTTTTTTAATGGATATAATACTACTTTTATTTACGGTTGCTTCTATTATCCCTGCATGCTCTCCAATTTCCCTTACTATATTATTTATTTTTTGTTTTTTTTTATAATAATTTTTCTGCCTTTCCCTAGCGAGCTGTCTCTTTCGACACTGTTCAGATATTTTATTAGGATTTTGCCTATGCATTATTAGAGTATCGATAAAAGGTTCCTGGAACAATCCTCCGTCACGTGAATATAATATCATGTGATCGTAATGAATAATTAGGCAAAGGTACCCACCTAGAAGGAATAATGGATAGCATATTTTTATAGAAAACCTGAAATGATGTTTATGGTCTCTTAGAAGAATCGATTTTAGGGTATCTTTATTAATGTAAAGTCAAATCTTTTTTATTATAGAAAAAGCTCTTTATTATCATGTCCTACTGGTTACCAGCTATTTCGGCGAAGATCTACATATCAGTTAGAATAACCAATAAAATAGTTATTAATCAATATCATTTAGAATATAATCATTCGTCTATTAGAATGGACTACATTAATTTCCAACTTTCATTTGGTAAGCCTTATAATGTGTATCCATAATATAAATAATTTATTAACTTATGTTCAATACTTATAAAGGAGTAGTTTTCTGTTTCACGCACTATAGTAATGGAGTAATTCACCTTAGATTAACTGTTAGTTTAAGTCCTCGAGCAGTTCTTTAATTCTATCTATCATACGGTAAGTACTTGACTAATTATTTATATATACATTAAATTAAATAATGCATTAAGTAATTAACTATCTTATTTAA